TTATTAAATATATTTTCTCTATTAATATTTTCTTTATTAATAAGTTGATTTAATTTTCGTTTCATTTTTATTTAAAATCAAATTATAATATAATAACATTTATTTATTTGGAAATTTTAAATGTTTCTTTCAGAAAAAATAATGGGTTCTTTGTCTCTTCAAATCAAGTTAAAGGAAGGTCCAACAACTTTAATTAGTGCGCAGCAAAATAACTAAAAAATATTTTTTATAAGTTTAAAAAACGTGATTTTTCCTAAATTCATATCAAAAAGACCTCAAGTGATTCTATTCTATCATAGAACCATCAGTTCGAATAGTCATTTGGTTAAGACGTCAAACCTTTAAATGAGTTTAGTACTGTGGTTCAAATCATGAAAAGGATATAAATTAACTAATAATGCAAAGACATTGATGAATCCTCCTCATGGGTATGATAGTGTAATTGGAGAACCGAGTAATGATGGAGATTTAAAATATTTTTCCGGTTTAAATTATTAAAAAATAATTAATTAAAAAAAAAAATAGAAATTCTCTAATTATTTTTTAATAAATCATTTTTAATTTTCTTAATTTCATCAGTCAATTTTCCATTTAAAATCGGATTATGTAAAAATATTTAAATAATTTAATTTTTGGTATTGAATTAAATCTAACTTACGTTAAATAAATATCAATACTTAAAATAAATAGTAAATTTTTCACGCCACCGGTGAATTTTATAATTTCGAAAATATTAAAAAGGAAATACGAAGTGAGTTTTTCACACCACCGTTGAATTTATAATTTCGGAAAATTTAATCCTATCCTGTTAATCATGTTAATCAACAATTATTACAAAACAATCAATTTCTTTACACTAAATGTAAAATAAATCCATTTGTATTTCATCTGTTAATCTTCAAATAAATCATATGTTAATTCATCAATTTTAATCTTTGTTTTAATTATCACTTTCACTATTACTATCATTATCACTAAAATCAAAATTTCTCTTTACTAAATTCAATAAATCTTCAACTTTGTATTGACATTTTTTCTTATTAATTATAATATCTTGATTATATTTAATTTGTTATATATCTTCATCTTTATTTTCATAATCTATATTTTGTCGATAATAAAAATTATCTCTTTCTTTAAATATTTTTCCTTGATCAATTTCATATTTTTTAATATCTTCTTCTTTAACATTATCAGCAAATCTAACATCAAATTCATACTCATTAAACTTGTTTTTCCATTTTTCTAATTCTTCTTTTGATAAACTATCATCAATAAATATTCTTCTTATTAAACCATCTCGTTCATAATTTCCTTCAAATTTAATTATATAACCATTTGGATATTGAAATATTCGATATAATGCTTCTTTATGTTGTGTATTTATAAATTTTCTTCCATCTTTTGTTTGAACCATTTCTTCAAAATTATTAAATATTTTCTCAAATTCGTAATTCGAATTAAATATATTATACATCGCATCGTAGCAACATTAATCCCATCTGGATCAAATTTTACAACAGGAACTTCATCTTCAGAAGTTAATTGTAAAAATGTTTCCCATTTAATAAATTGTTGATTTAATTCATTCATTAATAATACCCGACCTTTTTTACTCAAAATATTTTTTTTACTCCAAAATGTCGATTTATTTTGTGGAAATAATCTTTTAGCTAGCTAAATATGATTTTCCTGTTCCAGGATCTCCATGAAAAAAAAATTTAATGGCTGATAACATTTTGGAAAATTATTTTGTTTTAATTTATCTTTACATAAAAAATATTCTTTTACAAAATTAGTTCGTAACCATGGTTTAAATTGTATTCCATATTTCAATACAAAATCATCAAAATTTTCAATTTCTTTCATATCATCTAACATCTCATCTTATAATAATTCTTCATTTCGTTTTTTTTCTTCAACTGAAATATGTTCAAAACTATCTCCACCTTAAAATGGTCCAATTAACTCTTTAAAAAATGAATCAATTCAAATTATTTCTTCTTCATTTCTTGCAATCAACCGAATACAATTTTCTTTACAATTTTCACATCAATGATTTAAATCATCATAATCACATTTACATTTTTTTTTATGCTTTTTACATCGATCATATTTTTTCGTACAATAATTATAGTTATCTTGAAACGATCCTAATGGATGCTCAAGATGAACAGTATTATCATTCAAAATATTTTTAATTTCATATATTCCTAAAAATTCTGTAAATTAAATATATGCTTGAATATGTGGTTTGTTTTGCTCTCTTATCTCAATCTGCCAAACAATATATTTTATTTATCATCAATAGGAGGAAAATTTATAATGTTATTCCATTTAGTAATAGTACATTTATTATCCTTTATAAATTTCATTTATTTAAATAAATGAAATGACTTAATAATTTATAAAAATATTTAAAATAAAAATAAAATAAATAAAATAAATAAAAAACTTCTCTTAAGTGATAAAATATTATATCCATCCATTTATTTGTTGTTTATTTATTAAAAAATAATTAAAAATTAAAAATAAATGGAAATTAAAATTTTCTAACAGTTAACTAAATTTAACCATATGTTTCAACAATCTCTCGTAATTCATTTCGTTTCTTTACTAGCTCATGTAATTTAACAAGATCATTTCGTTTTTTTATCAATTTATCTATATCTTTAAAATCTTTTAAACCATTTTTATTTAACTCTTCTTCAATTTCAACCCTCACTTCATATAATTCCCTTTTTTCATTATGTCTATATCTTTCAATAATAAATTCTTTTTGCCAATCTTCAAATTCACTTTCTTAATAATATTTTTTTTGATCTTCTATATTCTTTCGTAATCCTTCTCTCGTTGGATGTTCTTCTTCTTGAATACATTCTTTACATTTATTTTCTTCAAAATTATTTTTCATTTCATAACAATAATCACATTGTTTCAAATTTTTACATTCACTCTCTTTCTTCTCTTGGTATTTTTTTTTTTTATTTTCTAAACATCTATTACATCTTTTATTCTCGACTTTATATTCATTTTCAGGTTTCTGATGTTTACATCGAATACATCTTTTACCTTGTAAAATACTAATAAATTTTTGTTCAGAATGTTGTTGATTAAACGAAACTTTAAACACGCAACTATTACAATATTCAGTTTTATTATTACTCATTTGTTTACAAAGAGAACAAATATTTTTTTTAGATAATTTTCGTTTATAAATTCGGTTTCGACATTCATTACATGTTTTATATCGTTTATTATTTTGAATAAAATTATTTTCAATTTATGTTTGTTTACAACCTGTACAATACATGTACAATATATTTTTTTTCTAACCGAACTTTTTTCGAACTTTTTTTACTATCAGAACTTTTGTTTCGAACTTTTAGAACATGATATAAAAGGATATTTATAAAAAAAAACATGAATTTTAAACTTAATTTTCGAACAATCTTATTGAACACTATTGAACAAAAATTGAACACTAGTAAAACGAATTTTATTCTAGAGTTTTTTCTGAGGGGGTTTTAACAGATTTAAATAAATCTTTGCAGTGCTGTATTATGTTAATATTTTTATAAAATAAAATACATATGGTAGTCTTGCAGTAGAAAGGGAGGAAACTCTAAAAAAATAAAAATTTTATTTTCTAAGCCAATTATGATTTTTTTTTTATTAAAATAAGTCCAGATTTAACATTAACTCAAAAAAATTGTATCTAATCTATCGGGATTAGATTGGTTTTTAAGACCAAAAACCAGATGGTTTTCAGCTAAATTTATCACTACTAGCCTTAGAAAAAGCAAATTATAGGACTTGCGCAGAGAAATATTTTTCCTATAAGACTGGCTGACCAACCTTTAGAAACAACTTTGCGTAAAAATTTTAAAGAAAACATGTTCAGTTGACATGAGATAATTTTCTACAGTTTAGGTAAATTATAGTTAGATTTTGTGAAGTCGCAATTATTTTTTTTTTTGGAATTTTTTTCTTTTTTATTTCGGTTCGATTGCTGGTCTCAGCGAACAATACCGCCCTTTTGTTTTATGTTTTTAAGGATCTTTCGATTTGAACCCTTCAGAAAGAGTAGGTTTGCTATACATTCCAATCACATCGTGCAATGGTCAATTTTATTTATTTCTTCTTGTTTCTTAATATGTCTAATTTTGTTTATAGATCCCTTAATTATGTTTAAAATGGCTATTTTTTTTATCTTTTCGATTATTTCTTTTTTTCTTGATCATTCCTCAATAATCGCAATAATATTCTAAATTCTAATTAATCTAATTAATTTACTTCAAAAGAAACTATATTATATATATTATTTTATTCTTGCCGAACGTGCCACACCATAATAAGTAGCGGTAATACATAGAATAAATTTCTCGAAGACTGTTAAAAGTACTTTGTTAAATATTAAATATTATACATCTCCTAAAAGATTAGCTTCTTCGGCTTGGATAATATGTATGTTTTAAATGGATACGTTACTGTAGTTAGTCCCCAATCTAATCAAAATAAAGCTAACAATAAATTTAAAATTCTTTTCTCAGGCACGACATATGGTTTCAATTTACAATTCCTGCGCCTTCTGCAGCATGATTCCATCAGTAGCATTGCATGATCACGTGATAATAGGCCAACAACCCATAACCCTAAATCAGTGTTGTCATGAGGACAATTACTTTCAGAAGTCTATATGGTGTGATAGATAGCATATGACAACGTGGGTGATAAATAATTGCATGTCATGTGATCGCTAAATTTTTTTTCGGGCCACCCTTATCAGAATTTAGAAAATGATGCACAGTGTCGATCACACCCTATTGGAAATAAAACACGAGTTAAATCCCTCCCGTTAAACTTTTTTTTTTAATAATTATTTTTTATTTCATTGCTTATGGCCTCCTCCATTCGTACAGAATTAGTTATGGAAGCATGTTATAGAGCTTTTGCATTATCTGATCCTAAAACAGACATAGACCAACAGAATGAATTTAGACAACCAACAATTTACGCTGACGAATCTCTCACAAATGAAGAAAAATCAGAGGCAATACGATTATTAATTATGACTATAATAAAATAATTTCAAAACAAAGAATGAAAATAGTTTGTGAAGAATGCAAAAATGAATGTTTGGTAATATCATATTGCGTGCATTATATTCGAAATTATTTAAATAGAAAATTTTCAGAATGTACATCCGTAAATAATGAAATTGATAATTTAATAAAGAAATTTCAAGTGGAAGCGATTCAACCTTTTAGACTAATTGAGTGGATACCATATAATAATTTACAAAATATTGAGTATCTAACTAAAGGTATACAGCAGTTTAAAATGATGGATGTTATAACAAATGGGATTCTATCATAACAACTAATAAGATATGGAAGACTAAAAGTAATACTTAAAAGATTAGGAAATGTCGAAAGTGCTAATAGAAATTGGTAGTAAGAGGTATGTAATTTTAATGTATAAATATAATAATCGACATTTTTTATAAAAAAAAAGAAACTAACCAATTGAATTCTCATTATAGGCCGAATCTCAATTAATATTAAGCAATAAAAATGCATCATTCGTTCAAACTTTTGGTCTTACTCAAGATCCACAAAATGAAGATTATTTTCTTGCAATGCATTTATTCGATATAGATTTAAAAAAATATTTACAACTAAATCATAATCAACTTACTTGGAAACAAAGAACAACATAATTAATAATATAACTGAGGCAATTTCGTACCTCCATCGAGAAGATTCCATTCATAGAGATTTGCATTCAGGGAATATATTATATTTTAGCTATACTGATGGTTGGTATATTAGTGATTTTGTATTTTGTGGCCCTGTTGATAAACAACTAGGAAGTATATATGGAAATCTAGCAAGAAGGTTATTATTTAAAACATTTAATAATGAAATAAAATTAAAATATAATATTAATTTTATATTTTATATTTTCTTTTTCTTTTTATAAATAATAAGCTTATGATAGCAAGTAAAATAGTCTTAATATTCCAGATCGTAAGTAATATTGGTTTATATGTAAATCAAAAATAAGAAATTTATTAATTAATTAGATATCTTAAAAATTAAGAAATATCTAAAAATCATACTGAACAGAATATTTCTACAACTATTATTGGTAAGAATTATTCGTTATTGAATTCGGATTATATGATTGATTAATTCAAATTAATATAAAACAGATATAAATAATGGCAAATCTAAGAGGGATTCTTCTTATCTACATGGTAATGAAAATCAAGATTTAAAAATTAGATCAAAGAAAATAAACCATACAAATGTTGAAATTATAACACGGCAAAAGCAAGGTAAACAATCAAGGAATTAATCAATCTTATTACTTTATTACGAATTTATAACAATCAATTATTCTAATCTCATTAGATGATGATTAAATATATAATAATTCAAACTTTCATTCAGAAGACCAAGATGATTTAGCAATTTCTGAAGATAAAATTATCTAATATTTAAATTTAAAATTAATGTTTTTAATAAAGTTAATTTAGAGTAATTTGAAATTATATTATTTTTCTAGTATTATTTAAAAACTAGAAGTTTAAGAGTCGTAAGATAGTTTATTTAAAATAAGGTTATAGAATAGCAGCAGTTATAAAATTAATATAAAGAAAGAATTTCGCGATCTTGTTTAAAAAGAATTAAATGATAATAATCTATTAGCATATACTTCAAGGGGGGTACATAATGCTTAATTGAATTATATATTAATATAAAAGAAAATTTTACATTAAATTTACTTCCACAAAAAATTCAAGTTTTACATTAATTCAAAGTAGAAATGGTAAGCATTCTATGATGTTTCTTTAAGTTTATCGCAATATTCGTGTTTTATTTCGTATACTTAACATATTCTCTTCACCTTCACGCATACTAATTTTGTAAAACAAATTACTTTAATATATTTTATAATACCTTAAAAAAAAAAAAACTAAAGTTAAAATTTCTAATCACATAAAAGAAGAGATGACGTTTCCTTTCCAAGACAATTTATATATGCAAAAAAAGTGCATAAACGTACGAAAAAAAAATTTTTAGTTATATATAATATATCTACGACAGTGAAAAATAAGTATAAATGTTAAATGAATGCCGACAAAAAAGTCACGATACTGTGTAAATTCATATGCTGCTGGATGGGAAAATGGACCAAATTGATTTTTTTTAAAAAAAAAAAGTTTCCAAGTAAAATAGATCTAGATTATTTCAAAAAAAAAAATTTTTTTGTCGATTTGATCCTTTTTCCCAGCACTCACCCAATATCTCCTCGTAATAAACAAATTCGTTACAATTTTTATTTGTTATTAATATTCTGTTAGCAACATTTAATCAAAAAAGATTTTATGATAAAAATTCGAAAAAAATAAATAATATTTCGAGACGAGCAGTTTGAAGATTTAAATGCGTTTGACCATGGTAATAAATAGAATGCAAATTTGCAAATAACAAAATCGATTTAATAATTTGAGAACATTTGGAATTTATCATTTAAAAAAACGTCCAAGAGCGATATATAAATCTTATTTAAGTTAAATTAAACTTCAGATAAACCGATTTATTAACTAAAACTATAATTGTCACTTTGCAAAATGCTTTATTCACCTTATAATCGATAAATGTTTTAATTAATACGCGGAGAACTGATTTTTCACCTATTTTCAGCTGTTGCTTCTATGTAACACAATAACCTACAAAAAGAGGATCAAACTTGACTCTTTATAAACCACTTGAACTGTCAGATAATTTTGTATCGTCAATAATGACAAAAATATAAATGAACGATTTTTATCTGGATTAACTTAAAACTTAAATCTATATGGAAATAACCATCATATTCACAAAAATGAAAGAGCTTATTAACTCCACATACAAAATTAATTCTTATTTATTGAGTATTCCTAAATATAATATAATTATCGTACGACAAATTGAAGCATGTCTCTAATTTATGTCAATGTGCCTGTGGAAAATTAGTTGTGAAACATTATTAAATCATAATCCGCATTATAAAGAAAAATTTTTTTTTTTGCAATTGTGATTTAAGCTAAACTTTTTTCACAAATAAAATAATAATATTAATAAAAAAAATTAGAGATGGCTTCTGATTTTTGGTTATTCTCAGTTGCTCGAGATGCAGATGACTATAATATTATTATATAAGTTGTACAAAAGCGTTTCACGCACATTCTAATATCTTGACTCCTTATTTTAAAAGCGCTCTTTCGCAGAATTGGCTACGGAGAAAATGACGTGTGACCAACTTTAATAAACCAAATATCACCCCTCCTACTGTTTTTGAAATTTTGTTTGTAATAATTATGAATGACTTTTATTTGAAATCACGTATTTAAAATGAGAAACACTTTTTTGATTGGTTTATTTATACTATCATTGAGTTGAACAAACAAGTTGGTTCAGTTAATATTGATCTTCTTGTAGCATCTGAAGAATGCTTATTGAAGAGTTGGTTACATTTGATATTAGAAAAGATGGCGAAAAGTTATAACGAATAATGCTTTCTAATAAAGAACGGGAATTATTAAGTAAACTTATTGATATATTAGAAGATTAGAAGAAGTAACATAACAGCATTACTTAGTGGGGTAAAATATATCAAAATTTCTCTAATGTATCCTACTATTTCTCGAATTATTTTAGAAATTAAACCAAGAAATGAACCATCTCCTTGTATAATTGAAACTGAGATGAATTTGATAATATTGATCAAATTACTAGTAATAGGAGATAATGAAGATTTAAATGAAATTATTTGTGAAATTGATAAAACAAAAAAAATAGATATCTTTAAACCCTTATATTCAAACTATAAAGCAAATTATGTATGAAAGTATGATAAAATATTGGAAAAATCAGCTATTAATGCTATAATAGCTTGTGTATTAGATCCCCAGTATAAACGATTGCGATTCATATCTGAAACTATAAAAATTCAAATTTATGAAGAACTTCACTACATTTACAATGAAGAAAAAAGAAAATCAAAAGGTAATTTTAACTTATTTTAACAAATAATTAACAATTTTTGCGTTACCATCACGATCTATATTTAAACCTGTCTCTGATATAGAAATGATTGATGATAATGACAATGATTATGAAAAAAGAAAAAATCGACTCTTTAATTTATGATTTTACTAAAACAAATTCATTTTCTCAATCGAATTATTCAAAACTTTCCTTTCGTACGGTTTCGTGTCTTTTATCAGAAAGATTACATCAATTTTTATATGAAAGTTGAATATACTTTAAATGAATCCTTGACTTATTTTGCCTTTATAAACAATCATAATCATAATTATGCACACGCAAATGATAAAAAATTTATCATTAATTTTGTTTGGCAAATAATTAATACAGTCCGAGCTGAATATTCAGTATCATTTATTTTTAACAAACCAATTTAAAGGTAGTTATGAAATCGATAAAAATATAGTTTAATGAGTACAGAGAATAAGATAATAATAATATTGATTGATCTGTGGGTTTCTTCAGATTATTATTATTGAGGAGCCAAACATGAAATTATAAAGTCATGACTACAAAAATTAAATAAATTGAATGGATATAAAGAATGATCGAAATCATACACTATAAAGAATGAAAAAAAAACAAAATGATGTTGAAAGTAAAGGTAATATATGACTATTTGAGACGATTCGCGAATTTAAATATTAACATTCATTCATATACTTCCCAATTATTTAAAGTACCATGATAGTACCAACATTTATTACCATCATTTTTTATTGGACCGCGCATATGATTATTAAAATTATTGCTACTCTATAACCTTATTTTAAATAAATTTTTTTATTGACAATTAAAATTTTTTGTCTTCTAGAAAATATATAATTAAACAATTTAATAAATTATTAAACCTTATTATTAATTTTAAAATAATAAATTGCTAGTTATTTTTACTTTCTGGAATTGCTAAATCATCTTGATCTTCTAAATGAAGATTTGAATTATTATTATCATCTAATGAGATTAGAAGATTAAATTATAATTCATATTAAAGTAATAATTAGATTTATAAATTACTTACCATAACTCACTATATAACTTTTTTACCTATAATACACTCCTATTTCATTGATTGTATGATTTATTCCTAAAATAAATTTATAGTTAGATGATATCAAGAATTGAATAATGCTTTACTATAATAATTATTATCTTTATCATTAATAAGTCTTTGATTTAAATCATCTCAAATTTCTAAAATAAAGTAAAGGAAAAATAAAAGATTCAATAGTAGTTATTAAAGACTCATTACCATCATGAAGATATTAAGTATTTCTCTTAGATTTGCCATTATTATTATCTGTTAATATTAATTAAATAAATTAATTATAAAGTTGAATTTCAAAACAAAATGTTGATATTTACCAATATTAGTTATAAAAACATTCTTTTGCATATGATTTGTAGATAAATCTTTAATTTTTTTTGAGATATCAAATTAATTAATAAATTTCTGATGACTTACATTTAAACAGGTATTACTTACAATCTGGAATATTAAGACTATTTTACTTGCTATCATAAACTTTTAATTTTATAAAAATTAAAATATAAAATTAAAATTAATTTTTACTTTATTATTTTAAAAATTAAATAATAACCTTCTTGCTCTTATATTAAAAATAAATAAAATTATCTTCATTTAATTTTGAATATAAAAAATAAATATAATAACTTACCTTCAGTTGCATTTCTTGGTTCAGATGAGTCTTTAAATGTGTAAATTTTACTAAATTTTCTTATTAATGAACTAACATAGTTAGAATTTGCATCAGATTTTGCTTTTGATTGTGTACTATTTAAATTAATGTTTTAGTCTTTATTTTCATTTTGATAATACGATTTTCAAATTTTGAAAATTTCATTATCAATAGTAGAAACATCAGGTCTTTTATAACAGATCAGCATTGTGCCATTAAATTTTTATATCCTGGTAGAGTTCCTGGTACGATTTGCAGTCTCTTTTCTTTTACTAGATTCATTTCAAGATTATAATCATGTTCATAATGATTAAAAGGCAGTTTCCAGATGATACCTCCCACATTAGCATACCAAAACTATATATATCTGATGTAAATGTATATCCTTTTCCAACTATAACTTCAGATGCAACATAAGGAAGATTTTCATATATACTTTCTAATGGTTTATTAATAAGACCACAAAATCCAAAATCACTTATATACCAACTATCAGAATTGTTAGAATATAATATATTCCCTGAATGCAAATCTCTATGAATAGTGTCATCTTGAATGAAGTACCAAATTGCATTATTTATATTAGCAATGATGTTTGTTCTTTGTTTCCATGTAAGTTGATTATGATTTTGTGGTAAATATTTTCTTAAATCTATATTGAATAAAACAATTACAAGAAAATAATCTTTATTTTGTGGATCTTAAGTAAGATCATAACTTTGAGCAAACAATATATATTTATATTAATTGAGATTCAGCCTATGAATAAGTATATAATTGATATTTTCTTTATATATTATTTTTTATAAAAAACTTTAAAATTCCATACCTCTTCAAACCAACTTCTGTTAGCACTTTCGACATCTTCTAATCTTTTAAGTATTACTTTTTCGCTTCCAAATCTTAATAGTTGTTTTCTGATAGAATCCCATTCTCTATAACTTTCATCATTCCAAACTGCTGTATAAAATTTCATGGCATCCACCTTTAGTTAAATACTCAATATTTTGTAAATCATTATATGGTATCCATTCAATTATTCTAAAGGTTGAATAGCTTCCATCTGATATTTCTTTATTAAATTATCTACTTCATTATTTCCAGATGTCCATTCTGAAAATTTTTCTTTTAAATAATTTCAAATACAATACTCGCAATATGATGTTGTTAAACATTCACTTTTGCAATTTCACAAACTCTTTTAATTCCTTTTTTTAAAGTAATTTTAGTATAGTTATAATTGTCAATTAACATTTGCGTTACCTCCGATTTTTCCTCATTTGTGAGAGATTCATCAGCGTAAATTGTTTGTTGTGTAAATTCATTCAGTTTGTCTATGCCTGATTTAGGATCATATAATGCAATTGCTCTATAACATGCTTCCATAACTATTTTTCTACGAATGAAGGTCATAATGAAATGAAAATTATTCAAAAAAAGAAGTTTAACGAGAGCTTTTATTCCAACAGAGCATGATTGACAATGTGCATAAGAAAAGATCACATGATTTAGCTCTTTAGGAGAATATAAAGGATTATAATGTTGCGAATAATGCAGTAGTTGCAGAATTTTATATTAAATTAAGATTTTTACATTAGGTCGTGTGTGAGAAAGAATTTAAATTTGTTATTATTATTTTGGTAAATTATAAAATAACACTGGTAAAATATTTCCTATCGCAATTAACGTGAGAATAAATAATAAATCAACTCTCGTGAAAAATGATAAATATATGCATTGAACTGGATATTTTAATATACATTACTTTCGGGTTTATTATTTAACGTTAATTTAATTTTTTTAATAAAATAAATTACATCAAATGATAAAAAATAGAAATAGTTTCAATATTTATTCTGATAACCATCTAAATTCATCAAATGAAAGGAAAAACTACAGAAATATTTTACAGTCATAATTAATGTTGTATCATGATTTTTGAATTTATTTTAATTATACATTTTATATTAACGAAAGAACCTTGAGATTCTCACTTATACGGAGGATTCTTTGAACAAGATTTAGTTTATTTGTTGGAATCACGCGTTTATTAATTGACGAGAGATTGGATTTGTTAAGTTAGAAAGTTGATAAAATGAAACTCTTAAACAACGTTAACGAGAGCTTTTATTGCAAAAAAATAAATATCAAGCAACTAATATTATATAAAACGTTTAATAATGAGAATCAAGGATAGTGGCATAAAACAAATTATTGCTCCTTTCATATTTAGATGTATTATGTATTATGGCAAAACGTTCAGAAATTCTTAAAGTCTCGATAGCTGCTATTACTTGCAAATATTTATAGAAATAAACCTGAATGTATAGAACAACGTTTTAAAATCATTGACCAAGTGTGCTTACAATCTAAATCTTCAATGATTTCGTTCAGTAAATCACCATAAAGGGAAGAATTACAAATGAAAGAAATTAAGTAAGAAAGGACTTGCACAAAATTCAACCCTTGATTCAGACTGCACAATTTTGGACGAAAGATTATTTCAGCATAATTTACAGTTAATCGGATTTCTTTAGCTTTAATGTTTTAACTTCAAGAGTTTAAATTTGGATTCAAATAAAATAATTAATTTTTCTTAATTTGATAAATATGGATGTCAATAGTATGAGATTTATATTTTTCAATAACTATTTGAGACAAATGAGACGAATTAATTCCTAAAACATTTCACAAATTATGCGAACATGATCCTATTATTGCCTTCCAATAATATGGAAATCTACAGTGAACATAGTAAAATTAAAGATACTTTTTATTTTTTACTTTTAAAATAAGATAAATTTCTAATCATGTTAAGAATGCATATAATGTATTAAATTAAATTATCAACCAAAAAATTTATTGTCGGAAAATACTAATTATAAATTTAAAACCTATTAAATGAAATTTATGCTAAATAATAGAAACAAATTTTGATTATAATCACAAGAATCAGCACATACTTTTACCTAAGCCAATGGCATTGTTTAAAAAAAATAAGGTTGAATTTTATTTAATAGATAAACTATTTCATACCTATTCAAATACATTTATTAAATATATAATTATTATTAAAATATATTCCCATTTTAATGATGTCGAGAGAGAAGTATTGGTTTTAATGCTTCGAATTTATTTATTATAAAATAAAATTAAAACTTAATATCAGAAAATGTCTTGATCTTTATAAACCAGATATAAAAAAAGGAAATGTTTATTTGCTTGCAGTTGCTCCATTAATAATAAATGAAGTAGTATTTTTTTTTTATTACTGTTCTGTCCTATGAAATAAATTTCATGAATTTATCCACATGAATTTATCCAAAGATTATATTTTTTCAGTAAAGTTTAGTACATATAGCGTATGCCTTTTGTACCGTTTTTTGTTTTGTTTTTATATAATACTACGATTTCTGGATAGTATTTGTATAAAGAACCCTTATTGTGCATAATATGAGCCCTGTTATGTAAATACTATTATTAATAAACAACTTAAAAGATAATATAATATAGCAATTTTATTTATTGTATTACACGATATACGTAAAAACCAAATCAAGTGAAAATTTAAAAAGTCGACTGTGAAGATATTTGATAATTTTGTGGGAATTATTATTTGCTTTTCGTTTTATGTATTAAAAAATGTTCTCATTAGTTAAAGCGTTTGGTAAATTATCGGCTATTAAACTAAACATTTAAATTTGAATTATCCTGAGATAATTCTTCACAAAAATAAAAAAAAAAATTAAATTAAATTAAGAACGGAAATTTATACGGATTTTGAATCAATTTTAACACGTCGTGGCGCAATAACGAATGTTTTGAATTAGATGGGATTTTTTTTTTAGGTAGCACATAAAGCGGTGTTACAATAAACTAGATTTCTCTGGTTTTCATCTAAGAAAGGCAAAATCATAGATAATTATTTCATAGAAATAAATCTTTTTTTTTTCTTGTTGAGATAGGATCTGAATTCAACAATAAATATAAAATTAAATTATAACAAAACAAAGTTTATTCATCATAAATAAATCAAGAACAAATAAAAAAATGAAAAATGAAAGGAAATTTCTCTTTAAGAAGAAAATGAAATTACTTTGTATAGGTGGATTGATTTTGCTTGGAATGACATTGATTCTCTGGCTTTTCGTTCCTGCAGATCCTTCTTTGTCAGAAACTAAACAAGTTTCTTCAGAAATTACCGATAAATCTGAAGAAATACCTAAACTACATCAAAATTTACCATCAATTCATTCACATTCGAATTCGAATTCAGAATCTAAAGTAAATTCACAAGATTCAAATATAATTCCATCCACATTTCCAGAAACACATTCGGAACCTCCAAATGAGATGATTCCTTCATTAGTGACTAAGCAGCCTTTACACACCCCTTCAAATACCAAATTGAAAGAATTACGACCCACGACAACAAATTCAGTTAAAGTAAAAAATTATAAAACCTTCAATTTAACGCTTCGAAACGAAACAAGATCACCCGACGGATTTTCTCGTTATGTATTTACGATAAACAACAAATTCCCAGGTCCAGAAATAATAGTGAATAAAGGAGATAATATCAGACTCAATGTAACAAATTATATTGGTCACCCAACAACGATCCATGTTCATGGAATGATTCATAATAAAACGGTGTATATGGATGGAGTTCCTTACATTACGCAATGTCCAATCCAAAATGGAAGCAGCTTTATTTATGAATTCAAGGCCACGAATCCCGGAACTTATTTGTAGTAAGTAGAAGTGATGTAGAGGCGCGACAAACTTTTAAAATCGTGGATAATTTACTTCAACGTTTTATTTTAGTTATTCGCATTACGAAACACAACGTGCGGATGGTTTATACGGTGCATTGATTGTAAAAGATCCGGAAGAGTCAAAGCTATATAATTATGATGACGAAAAAACCATTTTGCTATCAGACTGGTACCATGAAGAATCCGCTGCGTTATTAAAAAAATATAAATACAATAATGCGTCGATTTCTGATTTTTTCGAGGTATTTTAACAACATTCTTTTCATTCTTTTCAATTCTTCAATTATTAATTATCGTATCGATAATTTAACTTTTTATTAAAGCCCGTTCCTAATAGTGGATTGATTAATGGCAGAGGGATATTTAATTGTGAGAATTATGAGAACGACCCAATAAATAAGGAAAGATGTAATTTTAAAATATTAGAGATCGTAGGATTTCATTTCGAACCTCACAAGAAAACTCGTCTTCGGATTATAAACACGAGGTAATTATCTTAACTTTTTTTAAGAAATCAATTATAAAAAATTATTAATTTAAAATCAACCTCTAGCGCCTTAACATCATTTTACTTTTCTATCGATGGACATATGCTTCAAGTAATCGAAGTGGATGGTACACCTACAGAGATTTCGAGTGAATTCCATCGTTTACCGATTCACGTTGGACAGCGATATTCAATAATCCCGACTCGACTTTCTCAATTTAATTCAACATCAAACTTTTATCTTCGTGTCGAAATTACCAAGAAATCTTTTCGATCAACAACACCTTATGATATGCTTCCAACAGAATTTAACGCAATAATCCGTTATGAAGATCAGGATGATTCATCACTTCCGTCAACATCATCATGGACATTGCAACAATCTTCGTCGATATTTTCTATAATAGATCTTAAGCCTTTTGATTTAAGACCACAATTTCACGAAAAACTACAACGAAACACGACATTTTTTCAATTTGATTTGATCATCGATAAAATAGATGAACATAAATCTTTGAAATTTAAAAATAAAGGATTTAATGATAATGACATTGACAATGTTGAACAATTTTATGGATCTATTAATAGTGTGCAAAGAGGCGCTTCGCTATATAACCCAAACAAAACTACCAATACGGTGAGATTGCTATTAGAAGGAAAGATAATGACTTTTCCTTTTTATTGGAACGTTTATATATTCAAAATACGATCGATTATCAATATTCTTTTAAGTAGTAAGTTTCGAATAAACAAAAAGAATTTAGTAAATCTTTTTTTTTAAAAAAAAAAAAATTAATAGGAGCAGATTGATAATATATTTTCCACCTTGTCTTTTTAGATGATGATGATTTTGATCATGTATTCTATTTGGTAATTGTTATAGATAGTATTCATTGTTCCTTTCTTGATCAAGCTATTAAATAATAAAAGTTTATTTATAGCATGGACATAAATTCTGGGTATTGGGTCAAGGAGCAGAATCAACACCAAAATATTCGAATTTAAATGATATTGATCCGATTAAAAGAGATACCGTAGTTGTTCCAGCATTGGGGTATGCAAAGCATTAGCATACTTTAAGTGTTTAATTGATTCCTTGAGTTATAATTAATATATTTTTAAATTCTAGATGGACGCTAATTAAATTTAACATTGAAAATCCTGGAATATCTACGTTCAATAATCCTATAGTAGTAAGAATTTTTTATTTTTTTTTCTTTTCTTCTTTATAAAATGCTAAGTAAGTAAAATATTATGTATTAGTGGCACAAAAACATCGGTATGTTGGGTCAAATAATTGAATTCCCTAAAAATATTAAGAAATCTACAATTCCCCCAATAGAATGGTGCAAATTATGTAGAGACGAAATTAATTTAAAGGTATGCCAAGGGAAAAAAGTTAGTGTTAGTTTAATGGATGAAGTTATTTGGGATAGGAATTAAATATGATGTGTATTCGTTGGATGTATTCAGGTAAAATATATCAACTTTAAATATTTGAGAATTTCCATTTATAGTATATTAATTTTATTTTGATTAAATTTGAGAAACAAGTTATTTGGTCCCGAAAAATAAAAATAAATACTATGAAATAGTAATTTTATCCTAATTAATTGCTTTCACATCAAAAATGCTTCAATTTCTTAATTATAATTTCAATCTGAGAAAATATTTTTCTTAATTTCCATGAATATTTGTAAACTTATAATTTAAATCTATGATACAAAATGATCCCGACATACTTTCATACTTTGAATATCATCTTCAGGTGATACTTATATTATTTGAATCTGAATTAGATTTAATCCAACCTCTAAGAAACTTGAGACTTTGACTATGGCTTGCTACATTTATCCTTAAATAATTTTTAAGGAATCTAATAACACTACTGGAATTAGGGATGTTAAAAGTCCCATGGGACAAGGTCCTAAACAGTCTATGAAGTCCGGTCCAGTTCGAAATTCTTTGAACTATGGGACTGTAGTCCTATTTAAAATGGGACTTGCGGTCCCAGGACTGCAATCCTAATATATATAAAACGGGACTTGCGGTCCTAGAAACTAACAAATTAAAGTCATGTAACGTTCTATTAGAACGTTTGAACGATAATGTATCGTTCTATTAGAACGATCATTAGAATGGTGTCACTCTTGAATTTGTTTGGACGAATTCTTTTTATACAAAAGGCTTACTAAGGAAATACGCTATAAGTACTAACTTTAATGAAAAGTATAAACTTTTGGAAAATTCATGAAGTTGTTTTCATAGGATAGAATAAAAAAAGTTCTTCTTCATTTATTATTAGTGGAGCAACTACAAGCAGAAAACCATTTCCTTTACAGATCAAGTTTTGACATTTTCTGATAAATTTATTTTAGGTTTTCAAAAGTTACTTTAAATGGAATAATGTTAAATTTAAATTTTAAATTTAAATTTATAATAAATAAATTCGCAGCGATAGCAACACCTAACTCTCTACATCATTAGATGTCAAAATTTTATAAATATTGTAAATGAATTAAAATAAGTATGAAATACTTTAACTTTTATTAAGCTACCAAGTAATTAAACCAAACAATACCATTTGTTTAAGTAAATGTTTGTTGTGTTTCTTGTGATTTATTAGATTAGAAATTCATATTTGAAATACTTCATAATTTCTATAGAAAAATAATGTTTATTATTACTTAATATATTTTCGATAATAAATTTACTACTATTAAATCTATCCTGTCCTTTTAGTGACTATTTAATACACCTGCATTCTTAACATTGCTTAGTATCGCATCCTTGATATTTTAAAAGAAAAATGAAACTTTCTTTAATTTTACCATGTTCATCATGTGTGAAATAATTAACGAAGAGATGTTATTGAGTGAAAAATTGGTGGTGATCATTACTAAATTTCGCTTAATTGGGATGTGTGTCGTACTGATCGACATGAATTAATTAATAAATTAGGGATTTTGTGACACGAACAATTTATCTGCGTTGTATAATATATATATATCAATCGCAGCGCATTTCTACAATTTTGAGTAGCAAATGGTGTTACATATAGTACCGATCATTTTGCCAAGTGATTTTCATATGTAATTTCACGCCTTTTTTTACTTCGTTGATAAGCAAGTTGTGTAACTTTATTATACTTTTTTAAGATTTTTTTTTTATACGATTGTTCGTTGAGTTCGCGACTATTAGTTTATCAACAAAAAAACTTGAACATACTCATTAACTTTTAGTGGATCTTACTTGAAAAACAGTCAATTTTGCTTTTAAACTTATAAATCTTATAATATATTTTT